TCCCTGTACAGATGGATGAAGATTGCTGAAGCCACGGGATATTCTGCTGCCTGGGGTGGAGCAGGATCTGGCAGTCTTCTGAGTGCCAGCGGCCTGGGGCATTCCTTTCTTGACCAGTTATGGAGCTGTTGCAATGAGGTGCTCGCCAGATTATATTCGCGAACTTACTAATGCTAACGTTCCCACTGAGGAGTTTATATCTGAGCTGGTGGGTGTACAGGAGGCAGACTTACCGATGCTTCCTCTGAGACCTCGGTGCACAAGCTTTTTCTCTGCTGTGGTGGTGGACGTTCTACTGGCACCTGCAAGCCCCAGGGAAAGAAGGCATCACAGCCCATTGGTTAGAAATCGTGTGCAATGAATGACGCTGACAGTGCGGTTCATGTGAGAGTCACAGTAGAATGCAGAATGGTGCTTGTTTGGTTCAAAAACCATGGATGTCTCTGCAGCCCTGCAGGACCAGGATTGTCTCTTCGTAGGGGCTGATGTTCGGCACCACTGCAAATATTGCAGGAGCTAGTGGTAAAATGATGGCCTAAAAGCATCAAGGACGCACCTGTAGATTTAGCTGCATATTGGGTATACAGAGAGGAATTGGTGGCCTGAGATAGCATATTGTATAAAAGAAATACTGTCATTCTCCAATAGGAATGAAACTGCATCCCATGCAAGCCACCAAGGAATTGCACCAAGTCTGAGGAAGGCAAGAGAAGTGCTTAACTAGCTAAATATGAGCAACAAAATCAGGCACCACATCAGCTAGTTTAGTGTTTGTAATGTATGTGATATATCAAGCTGAGCAAGTTAGAGTCCTTGATAGACCATGAATGAAGCTGGGATGAAAGCTCTTCACTCTTGCAGGAATTGATATTTTGCCACCAAAGACTATTATTGTGATGGCTAGCAGGTGGATAAGGTCACCTCATTGCCTACCATTGAGATTGCTGAATGCCTGAAAGTACACATCAGCAGTTTCAGCATTCCCAACATTGAACAGAGGGCGATTTTTGCTTATTACAGGGTGAGAATTCAACTGCTTCATAAAGGATAAGAAGTTCAACACTGTACGTCATCTACACATTATCCATAGTCAAATGGAAAGTTTAAGGCAGCTGTAAAATACCTCAAATGATTTAGAAAGAGATGAAGCAAATCCAGTACTTGAGTGGACATTTGAAGGAATGGAGAGTGGTCCAGCAAAAGACTGATGTTATGGCACACTCAGAATATTCATCAAGGGCATGTTGGCTTTGTTGGCAGGGCCAGTAGTTATTGCCCATCCATAGTAGGGATGGCAAAAAATCTACTGAAGTCAGACGTAGTAACAGGCAAGAGTACCAAAATTATGTGTGCGTTATTCTGCATGTATAGGGGGATGTTTGGGCTAGAAATACAATGTGTACCTTTGTTTCTACTGGCTTGCAGTAATGATGCGACATCTAACTGGGGGCTCGCATGTTGCAACCAGTTTTAATAAAGTCACAGTCCAGGTCAGACCGTTGCTTTGGAGCTCAAAATTCTGAAATACTCGTTAAGAAATCAGTAACCTCAGTCCTTTGATTTTATTTTTATTGTTCTTCATTCATTAACACAAATTCTCACTAATTCACTGATGTTTCCAACTTTGCTTGCAATTATCTTAGTTTCACTTAATGAACATTTGCTGTTTTTAAAAATGTTATTCAAGTTGTGTGGGCTTTGATGGCTGGGCCTGTGTTTATGGCCCATCCCTAACAGCCTTTGAAAATTGAGGTTGGTTGGCTCACCGAGCTGGTTTGTTGTTTTGCAGACGTTTCGTTACCGTGCTTGGTAACATCCTCAGTGCAGCCTCCGATGAAGCATCGGTGTGTTTTCCCGCCTGGTTTTTAAACTCTGGGGTCTGTTGAGATGGATTGCCTCACTTCCGGTTTTCCTTCATAGTGGAATGTATATGGGGTCGAGTTCAATGTGTTTATTAATAGCATGCTTCCTACATTAGGAACACGTCGGAACTCACCACAAGACTCCTACGACCGCTGGGCATCAGAGTGGCACACAAGCCCACGTCAACCCTACGACAACTGCTCACCTGAACTAAAGACCCACTCCCCGCCATGGACAGGACCAATGTCATCTACAAAATCCCCTGCAAAGACTGTGAGAAACACTGAAAAGAAACAGGAAGGAAACTAACAACAAGGGTACATGAACACCAACTGGCTACAAAAAGACACGACCAATACTCACCCGTCTGAATCCACATGGACAAGGAGAACCATGACTTCGACTGGGACAACACCAAGATCCTGGGACAAGCTTGGCAGAGACAAGCACAAGAATTCCTGGAAGCATGGCACTCCACGAAGCATGCTTTTAATAAACATATTGAACTCGACCCCATATACATTCCACCACGAAGGAAAACCGGAAGGGAGGCAATCCAGCTCAACGGACTCCAGAGTTTATAAACCAGGCGGGAAAACACACCGACACTTCATTGGAGGCTGCACTGAGGATGTTACCCAGCATGGTAATGAAACATCTGCAAAACAGCAAACCAGCTCGGCAAGCCAACCAACCTCAACACCCACAACCCGAGCTACAGATCTACTCCAAAACGTTAGAGCCTTTGAGAAAGTACTGTTGAGCTGCCTTTTTGAACTGGGGCAGTCCATTTGGTTTAGGTACACCCCCAAAACTGTGAGGAAGTAAGTTCCTGAATTCTAATCAGCGACAGTGATAGAATACTGATTTAGGCAGGTCAGTGTAGTGATTGGCTTGTTGATTAACTTGTTGATGGTGGTGTTCCCATGGATCAGCTCCCCTTGTCCTCCTAGATGGTAGTGACCACTGCTTTGGAAGGTGCTGCCTAAGGAGCCTTGGTGAATTTTTGTAGTCCATCTTGTAGATAGCGCACACCACTGCTAATGTGCCTCGGTGGTGGAGGGGGTAAATATTTGTGAATGTGGTGCCAATCAAGGGGCTGCTTCGTCCTGGATGCTGTCAAGAGTTGAGTTACGTTCTGCATGATTCTTAACCTCTGACCCATCTGTCCACAGCATTTATATGGTTAGTCCATGTAAGTTTCTGGTTGATGGTAAATTCCAGGATATTGATAATGGGGGATTCAGTGATGGCAATGCTCTTGAATGTCAAGTGGTGATTATTAGACTCTCTGCTGTTGGAGTTCCTTATTGCCTGGCACTTGGATGACATGAATATTAATTGCAACAATATCATTCCAAAACTGGATATTGCCCAGGTTTTGCTGCATTTGGAAGTGGACTGCTTCAGCATCTGAGGAGTCGCGAATAGTGCTGGACATTGTGCAATCATCAGCAAACATCTCCTCTTCTGATCTTATGATAGAGGGAGGATCATTGATGAAGCAGCTAAAGATAGTTGGGCTTAGGACACTACCCTGAGGAACTCCTGCAGAGATGTCCTGGAGCTGAGATGACTGACCTTTAGCAGTCACAGCCATCTTCCTCTGTGCTTAGTATGATGCCAGCCATCAGAGAATTTCGTTTCCAGTTCCTGTTGACTCTTGCTGGGTGTTCGCAGTGCCATGCTTGGTCAAGGGCAGTCACGGTCACCTCACCACTGGAATTTAACATTTTTAACCAAGTTTGAACCAAGACTGCAATAACATAAGGAGCTGAGTGACCCTGGCAGAACCCAAACTGGGTTTTAGCGAACAGGTTATTGCTGAACAGGTACTGCTTGATAGCACTAATGACGGTGGTAATTGGCCAGGTTGGATTTGTCCTGCCTTTGCGGACAGGATATTCCTGGACAATGTTCCACATTGTTGAGTAGATGCTAGTGTTGTGACCATATTGGAACAACTTGGCTAGGTGCAGGCCAAGTTCTGGAGCACAAATCTTTAATACTGTTGCTGGAGTGTTGTCAGGACCCAAAGCCTTTGCTAAATCCAGTATCTAGAGCCATTTCTTAATATCACATGGAGTGAATTGAATTGACTGATGACGGGCATCTATGATGCTGGGGACTACAGGAGGAGGATGAGATGGATCATCCACTTGGCACTTCTGGTTGAAGATTCCTGAGAATGCTTCAGCTATATCTTTTGCACTGATGTGCTGGGCTCCCCGAAGTTAGGGATATTTGTGCACCCTCTTCCTTCAGTGAGTTGTTTAATTGTCCACCACCGTTTTTTACTGGAGGTCACATGACTGTAGAAGTTTGATCTCATTTGGTTGTGGAATCACTTAAATCTGTCTATCACTTGTTGCTTGCGCTGTTTGGCATACAAGTGGCCCTGCATTGTAACTTCACCAGGTTGAAGTCTCATTTTTAGGTATAGCTGATGTTATCCCTGACATATCTTCCTACAATCTTCATTCAACCACAGCTAATCCCCTCACTTCATGATAATGACGGAGTAGGAGATATGCTGGGCCATGAGATTGCAGACTGTGTCGCTGTTGATGGCCCACAACACCTCATCAATGCTAGATCTGTTTGAAGTCTATCCCATTTAGCACAATGGTAGTGCCACGCAACATGATGGAGAATATCCTCAATGTAATAGTGAGCCTTTGGCTTCACAGGGCCTGTGAATGGTCATTCTTACTGATACTGTAATGGGCAGACACATATATGGCATGCAGATTGGTGAGGATGAGATCACGTATGTTTTTGCTTCTTGTTGGTTCCTTCAGCACCTGCTACAGACCCAGTCTAGCAGTCCAGTCTGTATTGGTGCTATTGGATCATCCTTGGTGGTGAATATTGATAGGTACCCATCCTTGCTACCCTCAGTGCTTCACCCAAATGGTATTTAACATGGCAGAGTCCTGATTCAAGAATTGAGGTGGACGTGGTACTTGGTATTCAGCAGGAGGTTTTCATGCCCACAATGGACTGGATGCCATGAGGTCTGGAGTTAATGTTGAGGACATCCAGGAAAACTCCCTGTCCAGTGTATATCACAATACCGCCATCTCTGCTGGGCCTCTCCAGCAGTATGCTGAGCCATACCCAGGGCTGGTGATAGTATGTCTGAAAAATTGTCTGTAAGGCATGATTCTGTGAGTATGACTATGTCAGATTATTGCTTGACTGGTCTGTGAGACAGCTCTCCCAATTTTGGCACTAGCCCCCCAGATATTAGGGAGGACTTTGCAAGATTGACAGGGCTGATATTGCAGTTGTCATTTCCAGTGCCTGCGTCAGTGCCAGTGGTCTGTCTGCTTTTATTCCTTTGTGATGTTTTAGCGGTTTGATACAGGTGAGTGGCTTGTTAAGCTATTTCAGAGGGCACTTAAGAATCAACTATATTGCTGTGGCTCTGGTGTCATACATATGCCAGACCAGGTAAGCACAGTAGATTTCCTTGCCTAAAGGACATTCATAAACCAGATGGTAATTTTATGACTATTGGCAATGATTATTTTAGCTTTTTAATTCCAGATTATTTTAATTCAAATTCCATCCTCTGCTATGTAGAGATTTGAGCCTGTAGAGCATTATTAGGGTTATATTCACCAGTTGCTGGAAAAGCTCAGCAGGTCTGGCAGCATCTGTGAAGGGAAAAACAGAGTTAACGTTTCGGGTCCAGTGACCTTTCCTCAGAACATGCTGCCAGACCTGCTGAACTTTTCCAGCAACTTTGTTTTTGTTTCTGATTTACAGCAAACGCAGTTTTTATTCATTTTTTTTATATTCACCAGTATTCTCTGTTATTATGATAAATATCTTTTGACTTCATTGCAAAAGCTAACAGATTAAAAAACACAACAGCATAAGCTAGTTTACATTGCAATATTTGCACTTATCCTATTCTTTTAACTATATGTCATCTTCATTTAGAAGACATAAGACCATAAGTCATAGGAACAGGAGTAGGCTGTTCGGCCCCTCGAGTCTGCTCTGCTAGTCAATAGGAGAACGGCTGATCTGACTTTCCTCACGTCCACTTTGCTGCCCTTTCCCTTTACCACGATTCCCCTACTGATCAAGAATCCATCCATCTCAGTCTTAAATATACTCAAAGACTCTGCCCCACAGCTGTCTGTGACAAGGGGTACCAAAGACTCTCAACCTTCTGACCGAAAAATTTCCTCTTTGTCTTGATCTTAAATTGGCACCTCTTTATTCTGAAACAATGTCCTCTGGTGCTAGACTCTCCCGTGAGGGGAAATGTCCTCTCTGCACTTACCCTGTCAAGCCTGTGCTTCATTGAGATCACCTCTCATTCTTCTGAACTCCAGTGAGTAGAGTCCCAACCTGTTTAGCCTTTGCTCATAAGACCGTCTCTCCACACCACGGATCATCCTAGTGGAACTGCTGTGAACTATCTCCAATGAAAGAAATTAAAGAATATATTTAACTGATGTTTTCAAAAATATATTTGTCCAATATTCTACATATATTAGTTGACTTAAATTAACGATACGTACATTGCAATAGTAGAATGTATGCCGATGTAACTTTGAATGGAATGTTATAAAGGGAGCTTGCTTCTGGCTTAACTTCCTGAATCATCAATATCAATAAATGACTAACCCTGAAGCACTGTTAAACTTTGCGTGCTGAATAGTAACTTTTGTCAAGCTGCTGCTATGCCTTGGTGACTTTGTTTTATCATAAATAATTCATAGTGCATTCAGAAAAGCAAGCAATTTTCCCTCTGCTTCAGAAAATGACGTCAGGAGCAGGGCAGTTGATCAGTGCTGCAGACGGAAAAATGGTGCTCAGCTATGATTGCTGTATTAAACTGCTACTCAGAAGGCTGCCGGTGAATTCATCATCATTGCACCCTTCATATGGATAGCACATTTCAATGACACTAGATCTGTTTAAAACACTAAAATGATAAACAAGAAAACATACAGCTGTGATAAATAGATGTTTCTGGTAATTTATAATTTGAGGTGATTTTCCTTCTGTTCCATTTCAGGCCTCAAGGTTAAAGTCAAACCTCAACTTCTATTGATTAATTCAGATGATTAAAAACATTACCAATCAGTAGCTTTGTCTACCAGAAAATGACAAGGGCAGTTTTAATGAGGCCTTGAGCTTTCAGAATCATCTTGAATTTATGCTGTAAGCTCTGAATTGCTTGATACTTTGAAGGTGCAGTTTGAAGTAGTTTATGAATAGAAAAAAGCTTCAGTGTCCAAATTGAGGCATTTTTTAAAATTCTACAGTTTGCCCTCAAACTATTGTATAGATATGGCAAAAATATGAACATATACACAGGCTGATTATATGAACTTTCTATTTGTTGGAGAACATTTGTTAGCCACGACCTTTGAAAGAAGTAAATTATCCTAGCATTATACGATAATGCTACAACATCCTAGCTTGTTGTCATGACAGCAGTGTTATTCTTAAATATTATCATAAGACTGATACCATTTTTAATTTTAAAAAAATTAATCACATGTTCATCAAGTGAACAAGGCTAGCCAACAATATAGTCAGCACCTTCCATACCTACGACCACTTCCATCTAGAAAGACAAGGGCAACAGATATGTGGGAAGACCATCATGCTCAAGTTCCCCACCAAGTCACCAATCATCCTGACTTGGAAATATATCGCTTTTCCTTCACAGTCACTGGGTGAAAATTACCTCCCTAATGGCATTCTGCGTCAACCCACAGCAGGTGGACTGCAGCGGTTCAGGAAGACAGCTCAGCACCACCTTCTCAAGGGCAACTAGGGACGGGAAATACATGCTGGCCAGCCAGAGATACCCACATCCCACAAATGAGTAGAAAAAAAAATGCAGCCATTGTAAAATATGTTAACATTTTAGATATATCTAAGGCTCTGTATTACTGACTTGTAGGTAAATTGTAAATCTTAAAACCCTGTTAACACATTTCAAGTTACAAATTTCACTTAAATAGTGGCTGACTTTCTCGGCTTGGATTTTTTTCTCTGTTATCCTGTCACAAATGACATGGGAAAGGCACAAAAAAGGAGGAAATCAGGCATTTAGGCCTTTATCAAGCTCCCCTTTTAATGTCCCTTTGTCTCTTCTTCACCCCCTGCTGCAAATACAGGAGATGGGGCATATGTTTATGCTTACTCCAATTCCCAGGACTAACTGAATGAAGTTGGCAGCAGACACTGGAATCATGGTGAAAAATCTTGATGGAGTAGCAATTGAAGGTCTTACAGCCTGTTGTTTTACCTGCCATAGGTCTCAGTCTCTGGTAAGGCCTTGAAGAGAATATTAGTCCCTAGAAATGACCCTGGAGATATTTGATTGGAGAGTATAGATGAAGTTGTACAGTATCTACTGATGCTGTTTCACCACAGAGTGTGTTGAATGAGACAAATTAGAGGGAGGTCTACTCTGTTTCTAACTGATGCTGTGTGTGTCCAGGATATATTAGATAGAACAATGTAGAAGGAGCTTTGCTCCATCTTGTGCTATGCTTGCCCAGAGAGGGTCTGAAGGCACACGACACCAGGTTAGGGTCCAACAGATTTATTTGAAATCACAAGCTTTCACAATGCTGTTCCTTCGTCAGGTGAAATGAAGAGAAGCACACAGGTACAGAATTTATAGGCAGAGAGATCAAAAGATTGTACAAATGATGTGAGTGGAGTGCCTCTTGGCCGAATAACGAGTCTCAGTAGGTAATCAAAAATATAAGATGGTGTGAGTAAAGTGTCAACAACTGAATAGCAAGTGAAGGGATGACCTATGATCTGATTAATTGATGCAAAGAGATAATTACAAAAAATTAAAAATAAGATAGTGCTGGAGACAAACAAAATGTCTAGAATAACATGATAGGTATAAGAATCGTCTGCTGAGGGTCTAACCAATGTAACAAGTAATCCAAATCTGTACAAGCTAATTAAAGTAGAGAGACCATGATGAGTTATCAAAGTGATGGTGCGTTTACAAGAAGATTTTACAGATACAGAACAGTGTGGTGGGGTTATGTGTAGCACGACATAAACCCAAAAGCACAGTTGAGGCCGTCTTCATGGGTATGGACCTTGGTTATCAATTTCTGCTAGGGATTCTGTGTTGTTGTGTATCTTGAAGGCCACCTTGGAGGACGCTTACCTGAAGATCAGAAGCTGAATGTCTTTGACCGCTGAAGTGTTCTCCAACTGAGAGGGGACATTCCTGTCTGGCAATTGTTGCGCGGTGTCCATTCATCTGTTATTGTAACATCTGCATGGTATCACCAATATACCATTTTTTGGGGCATCCTTGCCTGCGGCATATGAGGTAGATGACATCGGCTGAGTCACATGAGTATCTGCCATGTATGTGATGGTTGGTGTTCCTACGTGTGATGGTAGTGTCCATGTCGAAGATCTGACATGTCTTGCAGAGCTTGCTCTGGCAGGGTTGTGTGGTGTTGTGGACAATGTTGTCCTGAAGGCTGGGTAGTTTGCTCTGAACAATGGTCAGTTTAAGATTTGGTGGTTGTTTGAAGGCGAGAAGTGGAGGCACGGAGATGATCTTGGTGAGATGTTTGTTGTCATCGAAGATATGTTAAAGACTGCGAAGAACATGGCATAGGTTCTCCGCTCTGGAGAAGTACCGGATGATGAAGGGTGCTCTATCGGTCGTGTCCTGTGTCTGTCTTCTGAGCAGATCATTGCGGTTTATCGCTGTGGCACGAGGGAACTGGCAATTGATGAATTGAGCATTGTATCCTGTTCTTTTGAGGGCGTCTTTCAGCATTTTTAGGTGTCCATCTTGTTTCTCCTCATCTGTGCAGATTCTTTGTAGACGCAGGGCTTGTCCGTAGGGGTCTTCTTTAACATGTTTAGGGTGAAACCTAGAGAAGTGCATCATCGTTAGGTTATCTGTATGCTTGCAGTAGAGTGAGTACTGAAGTATCTATCCTTGATGGAGGTGCATGTGTCCAAGAATGAGACTGATTCTGAAGAGTACAACATGGTAAGTCTGATGGTAGGATGAAACTTGTTGATATTTCTATGCAGTAATTCCAATGATTCCTCGCCATGGGTCCAAAAGAAGAAAATAACATCGATATGTCTGGTGAATAGTGTTGATTGGAGGTCCTTATGAGATGCTGTCATACTTTGTTGTCCAGTACTTCCCCGGAGCAGAGAAACTACGCCATGCTCTTCGCAGCCTTCAACGTGTTATCAATGACGATTAACAGCTTGCCAAGATCATCCCTACGCCTCCATTTCTTGCTTTCAAACAACCGCCACACCTCAAACAGACCATTGTTTGCACCAACCTACCCAGTTTTCAGGACAACATCAACCGCAACACCACACAACCCTGCCACGGCAAACTCTGCAAGATATGCCAGATCATTGTGGATACTACCATCACGTGGGAACACCACCCGCCTCCAATCTGTGGATAAGCATCCTCCGAGGCAGCCTTCAAGATACGCAACAATGCAGAATCACCAAGGAGAAACTGATAATCAGCTGTTGACACTTTACATACACCATCTGACACTTTTGATCACCTGCAGAGACTTGCTATTCAGCCTATAGACACTCCACTCACACCATTTGTACAATCTTTTGATCTCTCTGCCTACAAATTCTGTGCGTGTGTGCTTCTCTTTACTTACTTCTGACCTTGTTCACCCCAGGTCAACACTAACACCTCCACGTCATGTCCTGAGAGGTTTCTATGCAGTGTTCAGTCTACATAGGATTGCAAGAATTAGGAGCAGAATTAGATCATTAGGCCTCTTGACCTACTTTGTCGTTTAATAACATCTTAGCTGATCTGGTTGCTGAAAATTCTTGCCTAACCCTTTTAATCTTTCACCACTTTGCTTAGCGAGAATCTGTCAATATTGACCTTAAAAATATTCAAAGGCTCTGCTTCCACCACCTTCTGAGGAAGAGAATTTCAAAGACTTACAAGCCTCAATGAGAACAAAATGAATGTTTTAAATTGGTGACCCCTCATTTTGAAACAATTATTTCTAGATGAAGAAGATACTGAAATGTGGAAAAGAAGCCTTAGCCAAATGGAAACCAAAAGAACTGCGGATGCTGTAAATCAGGAACAAAAACAAAGTTGCTGGAAAAGCTCAGCAGGTCTGGCAGCATCTGTGGAGGAGAAAACAGAATTAACGTTTCGGGTCCGGTGACCCTTCCTCAGAATCTTAGCCAAATGGTGTGGTTAGCAAAATCTAGTTCTGGATTTTGATGTCAATCCGTTTTCAAGTGTGAAATTATGGAGTACTTGTCAGTGCCGTCTACTGTTTGTTTATTCATCAATGGGATGTAGGCATTGCTGGCAATGTCAGCATTTGATGCCCATACCCTTTTACAGCAATTAAAAGTCAACCACATCATTGTGGATCTGGAGTCACATATAGATCAGACCAGGTAAGTGATGGTAGATTTCGTGAAATCTTCTTTCGTGAGCTAGACTTTTGTTTAAACAACAACTAATGATGATTTCACAGTCAGCATTACTGAGAACAGATTATAATTCCAGATTTTAAAAAATTAACTAACTGAATTTAAATCCCACTAGCTGCTGTGGTGAGTTTTGAACCGGTGTCCGTGCATTAGCTGAAATATTGGCCAAGTGACATTCCCACTGTGGCATTTCCTTAGCTAATTCTCCCATTGTGACAGTTTTTCTGCACAGACTATCTGTAACCTTCCTGAGTATGCTTGGTAATTTTGCCTTAGAGTCAGTTTTGTGTCCAGAATCACTTGTAACAGGGTCAAGATTGCCCTGTCTATTTTAATCTGCCACCCACGCCCTACCAACTTGTCAAACTTCCCAGCTACCAATGCACCCAGGTGCCAGCCTACTCTAATGCCTCCTTACTCCCTCTGCACATTCACTTCATTCTGCCGTATCTGTTCACTGAGAATGATTAAATTACATTGAGTAGTAAACACAAAAAAAACTAATTACACTTGGAATTATTAAATAACAATACAATTAAATGTTTACAAGAGATAAAACAATTTCATTTCCTATTAGGCAATAATAATAATAAAATGAAACATTTCAAAAAACGTAAAAAAAAAAGTTATGTAATACCTGAAGGAAACTATAGAAGTTTCATTAAAATTACCTTGCAGTTGAAATCCTTATACTGTCCTCGACTGTTCACAAGGGGTGTTCCACGCCCTCTAGCATCTTGGAGATTTGTAGCTTCACTTCCTCTGTGCTGGTTTAAGGCCTACCCACTTTCTTATTACAGAGGCCTCCGGGACTGGCTGGTAAATGGGTAATATTTCCCGCAATTGGCAACTGTTAGACTGTTCCAATGCCACTTGAAAGTTCTGGGTCAAGGTGGATTGGGTATTTCTTCGTATGTACTGTGGTTGGGAGAACCACAGATTCTTATCATATGAAAACTGTCAATGTGCCAAAGCCATCAACCACCAGATGACCCCAGCTTGATCTGAAAGAGGAGCATAAGAACATAAGGAGCGCATTGGAAAGTACTGTACAGCTGCATGACGTACATCTCTTAAAGTGTATGGAGAATGAACTGGTCCCTGCTCATTGATGATAACTTGAGTCCATTCTAAATATGATCTCAAGTTAGAACATTTCAGGGCCTCTTCCACACTATATGGTCGGAAATTTTCATGACATCAAATAAGACTACAGCTGTTGAAAGGATATTCCCCTGCACATACTAATGTTAATTGCAAAATTATTTGTAAAAATGTTTGTTAGGAAGAACTGTGACTTGTCCAAATGCCAGATGCTAAAATTCTTCCTTCATATTACTGGATCTCGGCTTTCAAGTTCTTCGTTCATAATTCTGGAGTGCCGTAGTTCCAATCACTTTTCTCCTTATTGGTTTTATTCTTTGGATTTGGATGGGTTATAACTATTTAAAAACAGGATGAAGCACATTAATAATTTTCTACAATTTAAATGTTTTTACTTTTAAATTGAAGTGAGATTAGAAGATGGCAATCATGCTTCAAGTTCTATTCTTGATTGCCATCAATGAACAAGTTTCATAAACTCTTTGCTTAAAAGATGCAGTATCATTACAATGAAGAAGTTTATTTCACAGCTCTAGAGGAACCAGTGAGACTATAGCAATGCTCCTCCAATACTGATTCTCCATTTATGAACCACAATGGAGTTATTTGTAATTCCACCAGTTTGAAACAATGGAAACCTACCAAATTTTTTTTGTATCTTGCTAAAAAAAATTGGCTAGCAAAAAGTGCAGTAATACTTCTTAAAGACTATGGCATACCATTTCCATATAGATGACAGTATAATGGTAACACTTTAGGTAGCTGAAGATCATTTTGTCTATCCCCTCAAATCACCATAATTATCTTGAAAATATAACTGCATATCGTCTTTCCAAAATCCACTGTGTTACCTTGTTTGGAATGTTTTCATTTTAAGTTGAAAAGTTGTGGCCGTGCCTGGTCCACCACGATTAAGAGCAATTTTACTTTCACAATCTTCTGTACTTCACCTTATTAATTTTGCAACCAGGCTCTTGGGCACCTTTCTTGTTGAATCATGCAGCTGCAGAGGTGGAAGGGCTCAACACTCCCAGGATCTTCTGCTGTTCACACCACTGGCACGGCATTTAAAGCCCAGCTGCATACCACTTCAGACGCTGCAAGGTAGGAGCTGTCCATTACGCTGTGGTGTTCAACCATTTATCACTGAGGACACAGCCCAGTGCAAAGGAAAGCTCTTTTCCCAATTCACAGACAGGTAACTGGAGGTGTTGCTGCAAGACACCATACCACTATCCTGGACAGGTAGCTGCCTAGTTATAAGAAATGCCCAGCAGTGCAGGAAAAATTTTGCTGATCCTTGTACTCTGTAAGGGTAAGTACCACCATCTTCGATCTGCTATCTCACATTCACAGGACCATTGCTCACTCTAACTCTGCCACTGCAGTCAGCAGAGCTCCTGGATTACAATTCTCGCTCTTGCGTACATAATTTCCACTTCAGCCTCCCAAACTATTAACCCTTTCTGCTGTCAGTGCTTCTTACTCACCTCATTGACTCTCCTGCTCATCAACAACACTAACTACTCTTGCATTCACTCCATACTCAGGGCAACTATACCCTTTGTCTCATTGCAGGAGAAATTGGCCAGTAAACCCCAGACTTATGTTACTACTGCACCCTAAATGATCTCCTTGTAACTGCTGGATTGGATGCACTTGACCTGCAAGATCAACCATGTCCACCCTCCAGACTGCAATCAAATGAACTCCTTGGCTGACTCTGATGTTACCCCCCTGACCAACCATAGTTCCCCATCACCTTCCTAAAGGCTCCCCCCTAAGACTTTCAACCCTGACCATTTGATCCTGGGCCTCTGATGGGTGCATGCAAGCGGCTGCCTGCAGTAAAAACCTGACAGCCTCTGATGGGTCAACAGCAATTGGACTGTTGGATGTCCACTTCTGGGGTCCTTGATCAGAGTAAGGTTGGCCACTCATCGCTCAAGTACTTGACTGCGTTTATATGGCTGTCTTTTCCAATGGTAACAGTGCGGCTCTCTCACTTGTTCTCTGGCCTGTGGCAAGGCCCCCTGCCATTTGGATTAAACACACTTCAAATACTGACATTCTGAACAGCTATATATCATTACATAAATTAAGCTTTCCTTTTTGTTCCCTCAGCTGCTAAATTAAACCACAAGGCTTTTATGTGGTTGTCATATTTCTGGTACTTATATGTAATGGTGCAACTGTATCAGGCAGCAACAAAGTCTAGAAGCAATTTATAATAAATAGGCACCATGCTACTTAGTCTACAATATTAAAAGCTTGTTCCATTTGCATGATTCCAATGTGGAAAATTAATGAAAGTCAATGTTCTCAAATTCCCTGAGTTCTCAAGAATGCAAAGACAGTAGCATCGAACTCTTTCTTCAGTGTACGGTTCTCTTTTGTTAGTGCAGAGAAATTGAAATGCATAAATCCTTTTTATAGTATTTCCCACCTTAGTTGCCAATTAATTTGCTTTTGCAAAATGATCAAATGCTACTCGGGACATGAAATGATGAGTATTATAGTCTGGGCATTTATACTGATTTATTGATCACCAGCCCTTCCACACTGACCCTGTTGAAGTAGCTGGAATCGAAGAGAGGGAAAGTGATCAGTATGAGGCCAGTGGGAGTCTGCCTGCTCCACAAGCACTCACAGTACAGCATTGCTGACTCAACGCAGGAGGGAAGGGAGGTGAGTATTTGGGCTCTGATTGTTCCCACAGCTGGAAGCAAGAGATTGCACCAAAGGACTTTCACTATAAGAAAAATATTTTTGTACGTTTACAGGATTATGCGGACGCATGTGATCTTTATAGCCATTCTGCCCCTCACAAGCTCATAGAGTGTGAGGCGCAGACCAATGTCCAGGAAACTTTGAGGATCTGTTTCTACTCCTCAGCTATAACTTCCCCAAAGGTGCAGCAGGTACTTAAGCAGGGCCTAAATTGAGCAGCTCCAAGGAAGCTACTAGCCACTGTTTCAGTGCTTTATCGAAGTACCAATGAAAAAATATCAGCAGTTAACCTTGTAGCAGTAAACAACGAGCTCTTCATTACAGCAACAAAAACAAAATAACATTGACTTCAGAGTCATGGAATGATATCTCTCCTGCCACAGGAAACTGGTTCTCTTTATTTACTCCATCAAAACCTTTACAAAATTATTTTGAATAACTATGAAAGACATTATCATTCTTAAAATGTGGCAACCAGTGTTGAATTCAATACCCCAGCATGGGTTTTGAAAAGCTCAGCATAATTTCCTTGCTTTGTATTCTATGCCTCTGTTTATAAAGTAATTATTGTGATTGACAAGTATTTCCAATTTATACTGCTGCCTTTTTGCTTTTGTGAACTCAGACCCCCTGGTCTTTCCATCACGCACCCATTTTAACACTAGCTATGTAAAATTTGATAGATAACTAGTCCACCACCTTCCCACCCATTCCCAGCTAGACCCCTATTATATGTGTGGTGTGGAGGAGTAAGGCAGCCCTAAACTTATTTACCCTTGGATGTTTTGAGGTCCTTAAATGGCCAATTAATGGCCATTGAAGACCTCAGCTGCCTCACTGCACTTATGGCCTGAGCAATGGAAAATGGGCGAGAATAGAAAGGCCTTTTTCTCAACAAAGTTGATGAAAGAGCGGGAATAAGGTTGAGTAAAACCTTCAGGTCAGACCCTGTGCATATCAGGGAGTCTTTCCCCAAGATTCTACCACCTTTTCTCTGCCTCCTTGAACACCCACCCTTTTCATAGGTTGCCTAATCCCATGCCATTCAGAAGGACGTGACTGACTTATCTCTTGATTCCATGTTGTCTTCTTTATGGGCCTCCTGGAACTCCTAGCAGCATTCATCACTCTGTTTAAGCATTCGGGGCTTTGAGAGCTGCCAACTAATTGAATGGGCCAGCAGCTCTTAAAGGCAGGACTTTCTGCCACTGAGTGAAGGAACTCCTCCCTCCCTCTTGTTAAGACCACACATAGTACAACGTCACTGCAGGGCAGCTTTTTAAAAACTTGTAGTTGCCAATTTGTAGTTAACTTACTCAATCTGGTTGGGAGGGTGCAACATACGCCTTCTCCCATAAAATTCAGACCATTGTCTCTCCTCACTTTTCCTAGATGCATTGTTTCATACTTATCTGCACTAAATTTTAGCTGTCTTATATTCATCTATTTTGCCTGTCCATGTCCTCTTGAAGTATGTTACCATCATCCTCACAGTTTACAATATTTCCAAGTTTTTTGTTATCTGCGAATTTTGAAATTATGGCCTGTATACTCAAGTCTTGGTTATTAATATACATGTATCAAAAAGAGCAGTGGTTCTGATACCAACTCCCTAGAGACTGAGTATAGCTAATCTCTCAAAAACAGTCTCCTTTCCCATTCTATAGTAAACAGCCTCCTCCCACATTTGCTTCAATATCTAAAAACTAGTTTGCTTTCAATGTGCTCAAAGTATCGAAAAGCTATTTTGCCTCAGTACATACTATTTTACACGATTAGCTTTCAGTTTAATCTTGAAATTCTCAACAGTACAGGACTGCAGCAGTTCAAGGAGAACACATCATCAGAAACACAGGGATGTTCATTTGCCATTGCAAGATTTTAAGATTAAAATTGTTTAAATAAATTAGATATACCCAGTTGGTTCTCATTATGCTGAAATTTGGTACTTAGTTGAGACTTAACGACAACTTTTATTAGTCTCTATCTTATTTCTTAGATTTGAAATGCAATGGATTTATTTAACACATTGTGGTAAATTTTGGTTTCACTGTCATGGTGATGAAAAGTCATGTCTGTGCACCCTGATTCCAAATCCCAACTAAGCTCATCTTAAAAACTGCCTGATTTTTATTCCACTGATCTGCTGCATTTAGTAATTCCAGAATCTTGTATTTTATTTAAAGCAATTTGTAATAAAATCAGGTCTGCACTCTGGTTAGTAAACGTAACAGTCTTTATTAAACATTATGCTGTAAAATATAGAAGTGGAAAAGCACATGTCTGAGAACTAAACATTTAGGTCCAGGTTACATACTGTCTGCCGTCACTAATGACGTGTTTTCTTTTTATCATGGTATCCCACACATACACAGCTAGAGGCAAATTCCCAATTTAATTACTGAACTCAAAAGGCCCTGTTAACAGTCAGTATACATACCACAGTATACACTACTCTTAAAACTGACTATCTGGAAACTGGACATCCTTGGAATGTGCCATACATCAATAATAATCTCTGGAATACTACCTGAGCCGCATGCAATTTGGCTTGGACAGATAAAATTAGAGACATGAATTTGTGGCTTAAAGTCTGGTGTGGGAGAAGTAGGTTCCGGTTCATGAGCCCTGGCACTGGATGAAATGTAGTCTGTTCGCAATGAGTATGGGAGGAAGATTTATTCCTTTTACATTCCCAACATTATTTTTTTCTAATAATAGCGATAACATTGTGTGCAGTGTTTCTGTGAGATAAGGGAGAGATGTCCAGTTTTGAACTGCTTGAAGAATTTTGCTGGACAGTCTTTCAGATCAAATGAAGATAGCTAAAAGAAATAGCAGCACCTGTCCAAAAGGAGGATTGAACATAATTATTTATGTTTAACTGTAACTCTGCCACATCTCACCAAGGCTCATAGATGATAGCTCTCACAATCGAGAGAGGTGCATCATGGCCACTCGACAGCTATCACCCACATCATCCTCTCAATGTATTAATCTCCCTTCCCTCTGCACTTTCTTCTTGTTCACTGGGCACATCTAACTACCCTTTTTGCTCCTGCATCACCACTAACTGCTCTTTCATCCACTTCCATTCTACTCTGTGCCACCCTTTGTCTCAGTGCAGGAAATCTAGCTCACAAGCAAGCCAAGAAGTCCAAGGCCAACTGGGAAGGGGTAATTTTGATCTAGTTCTTAATTCCCTATGAGAGGAAAATTCTGGATTTGTCTGGAGGAGAGCATGACCACTAACGTGGAACAGAGAGACCTCAATAGGCAACCAACCCAATAAGCTTCACTGAGCTGTCCAACACTTGCATTAGCACTGTTATTTGTGCATCTTTATCTCCACAAGCTTTTATTCCTCTTAGATCACTAATTCTCTCTCTTCTCCTGCAGGCATGAGTGGTACCCAGTGAACATCCATAAAGCAGCCAGCGCTGAAAGCCCTCAGTTCCACCTCCTCTTCTAAGGAGGAAGTCACTGAGCCCTCATGAAGGTGCACCAGCAAGGTTTTCACCTGCCCCCTCCACCATCTCGGAGACTTTCACTTCAGTGCATACACTATTAGACTTTGGAGTGCAATCTAGTGAGCACATTCAGTGACACGTGTCCGCAGCGTGTTGAAGGAGAAACACCCCAGGTCTCTGACACTCAGAGGATCGTTGGAGGTCAGACGCCCACTGTGCCTAATGCAAAAGACAAGGCGCCTGTTCTTGGCCATTAATGACTGTGTCAGAATTGCAGAGAGAGGCACAGGAACAGCAAGCAGGTTTGTCAAAGGCACTCTGCAAGCTCAATTAAAGGATGGACGAGTCCAGCAACATTATCAGTAGTGTGCTCCTGCATGCATGTGCCTCTATGGAGAGGTTGGTGCCTAACATAGAAAGCCAGGACCAGCACACTCCCTGTCTGCCAGATATGTGCACTCTGTTGCTTTAGCCATAGGTGCTCAGCATCAATGGCAAGGCCAGAAGGGAATGAGGCAACTTAATCTCTCTTCCAGATACCCCTTTCTCTCAGATGACAGGATGTTGTTAGCAGGCACTCAGAGGGAGGAGGAGCCAAACAAAGGATCCCCAGAAGCATCTTAGTAGGACACTCCACAGTGCTTGGCCCCTGTCCCTTCCCCATCTCTGATTACAAAAGCCTGGTGCAGTTCAAGCTGAGGAGGGTGAGTCTGCATCTGTTCGGGAGACTCTTACCAGGCCTGGTCCCAACAAGCCAAAAGATACAACTGCCAAAGTTTTCCAAGCAAACAGGGCCAATCACAGACCAGGATTAGTCCACCCCATCTAGTCATGGGGGACAAACAGATAATAAACAGAAATACTTGGAAATGTATATACTGGTTATCCATTTTGACGTATACAAGACGAGTTGGACCAGTGTCTAACTCTCAAATTTTACAGTATTTTCCTTCTGAGTATGTAAGCTGAGACTGCATGTAGACATAATGTATGGTGGAGGAAGCAGAAAACTTACTGACAGCACAAAGGTCACATGGGTGAAATATCATTATAAATAACCCTCTGCTTTTGTAAAAAGATACTCACTCGCACTGTTAAAATCTCTGCCGTAGTATGAATTTTGCTGTCAGACCTGATCAAGTAATACCCATGTGAGAGATGACAGTCTCTTCAGATATTTCAAGAATGTAAGAAATAGTAACTGTCAATCGTTTATCTCTTGCAAGCAGCTGATTCTTGACTGCAGATAGCCTCAGATGTTCTTGAACCATGATGTTGGGGATTGCAGCCAAAGCATTGCACTTTGATGTGGACAACACTGAAGCCAAACACAGTGTGCAGGAATTGTGTTAGGCTCTGGCCTGCACACATCATTCCACATTTAGCTTGTGATTGAGAATACAAAATCAGTGATGATTCTACACATCTCTGCAAGGAAAGGTTCACTCAATATATCCGTTTTTCATGGAGGTGCAGTGCCATTTAAGGCTGGGAGAAAGACAATGGACAGCTCATACAGCTACTCTGCCTCATAGCATATTGGTCTGTTGAGAAAATCTGAACACAGCATTGCCTCTCAAAGATTCAACGTTGTCATAATAGATGCCCAAGCATTTCAGGGCTACTTAGCAGTCTACGTGCAGTCTGAAATATTGAAGGGTTACTGACGATGGAAAGGTCAATTGGAGATTCTACAGGATTTCTGTCTACTTGCTGCCTTCATGACAGACTTTACTGCACAGTAGTTGCATATGATCTGCTTAAGAGCCTTGAGTGCCACCTAACCTTAGCACTACATAAAGTTAGCGCTCTGCCTCACTGCTGCTTTTTTGCCTAATTGCTGATAGGACATGTAATGTGCAGATCGTTGAAATTATGATCATCCAAAGATATCAAACATATCAGATGGATGATGAGATATAAATTCAGCAACACAAAAGATCAAGATGTGGAAGTGCCGGTGTCGGACTGTAACCCATTGGACTATAATATGGTACTGTGTGACAAGAGATCAAGACAGAAGCAGAGAGTGCAGGAGAAACAATCAGGTCTGGTCGTATCTGTTGTGAGAAAAGCAGAGTTAACATTTTGATGCCAGTGACTCATCATCAGAATGGTCAAAAGGTCAAAGACTGCAAAACAACGAAGCCCTTATGTCTTTGTACTAAGCAGGGTCTGTTTTGCAGATTAACAACGGAATGTAAAACAATTAAATGAAGCCCAAGACCAGCTTATTTGTCCTGGAAACTGGTGTCTTACAACATCAATTCCAAACTTGACAGACCTATTTACTTAAGGTATCATGACATGTGAAGTTCTGATATAAAGGTACCTGCTTCACCTTCAGTCATTCTCATTGTGTAATGGGGTCAATGCAGTCATCAGTCAAGTGTGTGTAATGTACAATACATGAAGAAACACAGAACCCAGACTGTGATATTGTTGCCTAATAAGTAGTTAGTGTTGTAAATAAACTCCAAGTTATTTGACTCAATAAGAACCCAACTAACATAAAGAAAACTGCATCAGAAGCAGGTTTAATTAGATTATCTCAAGCCTCTCAAGCTTGCCAATGCATTGTTGTGTTGTGTTTTCTTGTACAACGTCCCTAGTCAATGTCCTGATCTTCATTCTCAGAATATTGTTGTTCTCTCATTTTGTCAGCTCCAGTCGTGATGGGCACAGTGTGCCCGTTCTGG